TGGGAAAATATCAGTGGGTGTGTCTGTTCATGAACAATGGGTCATCGATATTCTCTATCTAGAGTCTCCTCCGAGATGGTGGCCTTTGATGTTTTTACCTCAGTGCGGTCTACCACATAGGAAAAGGGTGTATTCCTCAAGTTCTCTTAAGTCTGTTCGTCGTCCTTAGTGTAGGAGCAAAGCTCGGGTACCATGATGGATTGTAATTCCGTTTTAGTCCGTTTGTCTGAAACGCCACACAGTAGACAGCGTTTCGAACACAATTTATTGTCCATATTCATATCAAGTGACCTCACAACTTAGAATTTATATAGTCCGTCTTCTTCTCTGTGATAACGGTAGTAGGATTTTCCACATATCTGGGACAGGTGCAGGATTATTTCCATTACCGCATGAACTTGGTGTTAAATGGGTAAACGCACCTGTCCCAGATATGTGTAAGGTTTTACCGGCCTTGTTAACCCCATTTCACCATTTCGTGGGCATTTACCACGTAACTTCTCTTCATCTGTTAATTTCTGCCGTAAACAACCTCTATCGATGTAACTAACCTCCCATAGTCAACTATTTCACTATTTGCTGGCCGATCCTAAGCCCGGATAAAGAAGGAAGGTTTGTTAAAGGGCTGGCGACCCTAAGCTGTAAAGCCAATCTAACCGCTAAACAAACTTCAAAGCACGAAGAAATCATGAAAAATAAAAACAAACTTATTCCTCTCTAGAATTGGACAGAAGAAATGTCGCCAGTTGGTGAAAGCCTTCGGGAAGTCAGTCAGCCAATGTGTCTTCTCTCGATGAAATGAAAAATAAGCGTGGGGGCATGGAATGTCTGCACCATTTGTGGATCTAGCAAGGCTCCCCAGATCTTAAAAGAGGTGCGAAGGTATGGCATGGAAGTGCTTGGAATCTGCGACAGCAGACAGAATGGAAGTGGACTCTCCAAACTCTTAACTGGGGGTCAATAATCCACTCCAATATTGTCACTCAGACGACAATCACGAGCACACTGAGTTTTAGGGGTGCCTATCATGATGTCCCTAAGACCATCAAAAATTCCCATACAGTGGGAACCAATCTTCTCCCTCAGGATCAGGATCATGACAGCAAGATGGATTCAAATCAAAGGGGAGGCAAGTCACAACCATACAATGCTAGGCCACGCACCTACAAGCAGTGCAGGTGAAGAGAAGGAGGAGGAATTCTATAGACAACTGCAATCAACACTGGACAAGATCTCAGTTGGGGATTTCACAATTGTGATGGGCGGCATGGATGCCAAACGAGGGGCGGGCAACACAGGAAGAGAAACCATCATGGATCGACAAGCACTCGGTGAATTGAATGAGAATGGAGAACTGTTTACAGATATCTGCGCACTTGGAGACTTGGTGGTTGGCGGTGTTGTGTACAAACGAAAGAATATTTACAGAGTGACATGAGTTATAATGACAATTTATCCCTGAATTTACAAGAGCGTATCACTCCTACAGATACGGTTATAAAACGTGGCGGTGGGAAATCTCCGGTAATGTTTTCTTTCATAAAATGTTTATCATCTCCCTTCCATTCCAAGTGGTGAAAATCCCCACACCACATACAAACAGTGCACGTTAAGTTAAATTCGGAATTTTTGTTATGCCTTTAGGTTACCTGGCAGAAATGAAAGTCATGTTTAATGAATATGTGAAAGAACCACTCAAAAGAAGTGGAGGTAACTCAACTATTTCTTGCTCGAAAAAGTAATGCTGGCTAGATCACTCAGTTACTTTGATTTGAAGGATCATATGTATACTGAGCGAAGTACCACGGCAGATTCAGCGTGTTTTTCAAAGGACATGCATCTCCAGGTCCATTGAAACGTCAAGACATATTGTACAGACAATAATAAATAATGCTGATAACAATGTCTCACCTTCCTGATTAAACGATTTATTTTTGTTTGTTCCTGCTAAGTTGGACACATGTTCACAGTGGCCGCCATGGTGCTCTGCACTGTGCTTAATAGCTTGGTCAATATTGGCCAAATCCCTTTGAGTTTCGAGGTCGAGTCAAAGGATCCGTTCCCGTAGATAAAGTTGTATCTTTCTGCATTCTTGTATGCTATTTACAGCTGCAGTGGATGAAATGGCTCCAGTCAATGAAACACTTGATGAATAAATGTCAAGAGGAAACATCTCCGTGTGATGCCATAAGGATGTTCATCGCAGGTTGCAGGGTTGCACAGGAGTTGCTTGAAGACGGATGCGGCGATATTTAAGAATGGTACTGATGAAATATATTAAGCCGCATCATCCTGGAGAGGCTAAGGGATGCACTGGATTCAAAACTACGACCGGAACAGGCAGGCTTCAGGAAGTACAAATCATGTGCAGACCGAATTGCAACGCTTCGCATCATCATAGAACAGAGCATAGAATGGCAATCACCTCTCCACCTCAACTTCATCGACTTTGAGAAGGCCTTTGACAGCGTCGACCGAGAGGTAATTTGGAAGCTGCTTCATTACTACGGAGTGCCGCAAACCTTTATCCGCCTCATTCAACAACTATATGAAGATGCCACATGCCAAGTAATCCACAATGGGAAGCTCAGTGATGCCTTTGAAGTGAAGACAGGAGTGAAACAAGGTTGCCTACTATCCCCCATGATATTCCTTATTGTGGTGGACTGGATCATGCAGCAAACAGTAGGCAGCGAGAAGAGGGGGATACACTGGACGACGGAAAAGAACCTAGAAGACTTGGATTTCGCCGATGACTTATGCCTAATGTCACATAAACTTGAAGATCTGCAGGCAAAAACTAACAAGTTGATAGAGGAGGCAGCGAAGACGGGACTTCAGGTGAATATAGAGAAGACAGAAGTGATGAAGATACCGCATCACCACCATCAACAACAACAAACTCCAATCACTGTCAACGGGAGAAACTTGAAGGAAGTAACCTCCTTCACTTATCTAGGAAGCAGTGTTTCAACTACAGGCGGGACGGACGAGGACGTCAAAGTCAGAATCGGAAAAGCAAGACAGGCATTCATTAGCCTGAAACCAGTGTGGAGATCTTCTGCACTCAGCATGCGGAACAAGATACGGATTTTCAACACCAACGTCAAGTCAGTGCTCTTGTATGGCTCAGAGACTTGGCGCGTCACGAAAGGTATTTCCAATAAACTACAGACATTCATCAACAACTGCTTACGCTCGCTGCTGAAGATCAGATGGCCAGAAAAAATAAGCAACAAGGAACTCTGGGAACGAACCAACCAAGAACCTATCACGCAACAAATATGCAGGAAGAAGTGGAGATGGATTGGGCATGCACTGAGAAGGCCGACTGAGGACATCACGCGTCAGGCCCTCGAGTGGAATCCCCATGGGAAGCGACGAGTTGGACGTCCGAGGGTGACATGGAGGAGGTCGTGCGAGCAGGAAATGAGAGCTTCTGGGCTGTCGTGGAACCAGGTTCAAAAGATCTCAGAGAACAGAGGTCACTGGAGGCGTGCTACTGAAGCCCTATGTTCCACTAGGAACCCAAGGGACTAATAATAATAATAATAATACTGATGAAATATCCTAATTTCAATCGAATTGCAGGTTTCCAAGATTCTATCTGCAAGAAGAATAGAGAGAAAAACAGGCGTAATGTCAGTTGAAGAAGGGAGTGGTATTGCACTCAGTACCACTTTTTGGTCGCTTCCTGGGAACTCGAAATTAGCACATGCTGAAAGAGGGCGAATATCTTGTCATGTAGCTAGGCCAAGCACGTTCTCACCCCTTGTCGGACTGGTGACAGATTGTCTCCATCCAAACATATCTAACGTACTAAGGGAACGATCATATTTAGCGGAGCAGATATGCGTGTCCCATTTAATTTCTGGCAGATTAAGTCTCCGCATACAATCCTGTGATCATATTGAAGGGAGGAGGCGTGTTCGAGAGCACCATTGTGTATGGACTCGTCTTCGGGGAAGATCGCAGGTACTCTGTATATGCAGCCAAATAGTACCGTTACATAGCTGCAGTACACTGTGACCCATAGTAAGTCTTCAATTTTACTTAGCGCGACATTTTCCGGCCTGAATGCATTTAGGGTGTTTAGAAATTATATTCGGCACCCACCTCCTCTCTTACTGCTCCGGTCATATCTAAAATGTGTGTACACGTGGATACTAATTTCATTATTTAGTATGCTGAAGTGACACCATGATTCCGTGATTATTATAATGGGCGGTCTGAGCAGGAACGGCATCGTTCTTGGTATTGATACTTTGCCCATTACGGATAATAGATAAGTATGAATAGTAGAAATGCGTTAACGCTTCAAGATCGGTGAAGAGGGTCAAAGGTATGTCACGAACCCACGGTTGAGTATGATCTGACACCATACCACATGAGTTACCATTATTTACAGTTTCAGTGGTCGGGGGGAGACCACTTTACTAATGAAGAGGTGGGGTCAGGTGAGTCGCTTAGTTCACCATGAACTTGGTGTGAAAGTGGGGTAGAGATTTGTCTGAGGACGGGTAAGTCAGATGAGCGGCGTCTTTTTCATACTTTGGTGAGTTAGTTGAGCGCATCTTAGCTAGGCCTTTTTTTATACGCCAAAGGAGGACACACTGTCCAGAACCTTTGTGCCTATCACTGCTGGTAAGGTATATGAGCTGGATCTGGTCGGAATAAACGGTTGTAGTATGACCTGCTGTTCAGTGACCTTTTATTGGGAGGAAGGCGTAGCAATCCGGGCAGCAATAGTATTAATAATAATAATAATAATAATAATAATAATATATTTCATGCAACAAAGGTTACATGAATACAAACCAGTTTACAGGTTTGATCACTTTGGTAATGAGAGATGACTATTATGTACAATGTTATGCTATACATTAGATGCTGTGATTTATGGCATATAGGAGGCATGTTGAAGCAGGCTCAGTTCGAATTTGAAGATTATCCGGTCATCGTTTGAATCATCCAATATTCTTGAAGGTGAGGCCGCATCACATTCATGACCTTGGGGTGTGCGCGTTCGTCATCAGGTTTCGGTGCCAATATTTCCCACTGACGAATGCGATTTGTAGGATTCCATTTGAATGCAGGACTGGTTAAGTAAATCTGAAAAGTGAATAACAAAAGCGAGCAGCAGGCGAAATTTGTAACAGGGGCACAAAAATACGCAGGAGTAGATCGACCATGATACATCTGGGTGAGTTTGTACTGACTATTAAACTTACTTGAGGAAGTGTCCAGAACCAACTGTTTAGAGGTAAGCTTAGGTGGAAGAAGATGAAGGTGCGCACGACAGTAATGAAAGTCAGCCTGAAGCTGAAGATATCACTACGAAATAGAAAGATTAGAGGATATTTGACCAGGTATTAACTTGTTATATACCTATGTACAAGCGTATGATGAAGTTATAAACATTTAGGTGAAATTCGTGGTTTTTTTTTGTTCTTAGGACCACCACCCTTTATCTGGTCACGAGGGGATGATCATGGTGTTGCCTGTTGAGCATTACCATATCGGGTCTACCGAAACTATGTTGGTGCAGAGTACTTAGATGTAAGGGCAAATAATAAAGAGTTGCATGCTATGAAAATGCACCGACAGACAGTTCTTTTATCTTTTCGGAGTGGAGAGTTTACTTTAAGGGGCGATTTTTAGGAAATAGGTGTTAAGTCGTGAGATCGGTTAGGTTGTGAAGAAAAGTAGGTTACATTTGAGTATCTAATAAGTTCACTGTAGCATATCGTGTCGCACTCCGCTTCCTGTCCACTCTTGGTCATTTTTTTTCTAAGAAATTAGATTTTAACTTAACTATTGCGTTTAGTTTTCGGCATTGTATACTTATGTCATTGCTGTTAGTCTCCCTTGAGTCTAGGTACCAGTAGTACCTTAGTGCATGGCATTACCGTTTGTGGTTTGGCCGTCAACGAATTGATGAGATTCGTTAGATAGGAGGAATTTACTAAGTAATCGTTGAAACTGGCCGAGCGAACGGCATGCTCGTATAGGAGCGGGAAGTTTGTTCCACAGCATACTGTATTGCGTTATGAAAAACCTACATCGAAGTTTTGAGCGATACTTATTTATTGGGATGATGTTCTCGCTATTACGCAGATTATATGCCTGTGTTGTTTTAAAAGTGACAGCACATTTCGTTTTAGGGTTTGTAAATAAAAGACGAAAAAGAAGTGTTAAGTTGAGCTTCAGGCGTCTCAGCCAGAGTGATTCTAGTCCTAGTTTTTTGCATCTTGCTTCGTAAGGAAGTCCTTCGTTATGTATTAGTAGGCGCCGAGTAAAGTTCCGTTGAATGTTCTCTACTCGAATTCTGTCCGACACATTCATGCTACCATAGATAACGGTGCAGTACTCTAATATTGGGCGAACCATAGCCTTGTACAGTATAAGTTTTGCCTCAGGTATGAGTATGTTTCTGTGTAGAAGACCGATGAGTCTTCTGCCCTTGGAAACTACTGAGTCTGCATACTCCGTAAAAGTCAAACTTCTGGAGTAAGTGATTCCGAGGTCTTTCACAGTGTTGTATACCTGCAGTGCAATATCACCCAAGTGTAGCGTTACTTCTGGGTGGGATTTATTGAAATGGAGGATGCCACTTTTATTTGGGTTTAGAGGGAGCTGCCAGGTCTCGCTCCATATGAATATCCTCTTCAGATCTTCTTGTATTTGAGAGAAACCCTGTGTTAGTGCTGCAGGAGAAAAGCTGTAGACTATCTTCAAGTCGTCAGCGAAAAGGTAGGGTATGCCATTTCGGATAACACTGCAGATATCGTTTACATAGATTAGGAAAAGTATCGGTCCTAGCACACTACCCTGGACGACACCACTTTGTATAAGTCTAGGGGTGGAGTAGCAATTACTGAATTTTACTACTTGGAAGCGACCCTCTAAAGATGTTCTGAGCCAGGACAGTAACGGGTCTCGGAAACCATATGATTGCAACTTAGTGACCAGGCGTTTGTGAGGCACCTTATCGAATGCTTGCTTGAAGTCTAAGAAAAGGGTAGTTACAAATAGGCCTTGGTCACGCTTGCTTGTAACGTTGTCTAGATAGTCAAGATAGCTTGTAGTGCATGACCGGCCTTTCAAGAATCCATGTTGTGCTGGTGAGAGTAATTGGTTAGTCGTCATATAGTCGACAACTGCTTTCACAATCACCTTTTCCATAGTCCTGGATACTACTGACGTGATGTTTATAGGTCGGTAGTTTTCTATATTAGATGTTGGTCCACATTTATGCTTAGGACATATGTATGATAGTTTCCAGTTCTCAGGGTAATTGCCACTGGAGAGGGACGTATTAAAGAGCTTCAAGAGAATCAGCGGTATATCTTCGCCACCTCTTTTTAACAAGATGGTTGGAATTCCATCAGGCCCCGCACTGTATGAGGTTCGAAGTGATGCTATAGCTAGAGAAATGTTTTGTTTAGAGAAGAGCACTGTACTTATGGAGTGAGTTGGTGTTGACGGTGCACCAATGACTTTTATTTCGTCCTCTTGTGTAAAGCAGCTAGCAAACTGGTAACCGAACAGCTCGCTGATTTGTAGAGGGTTATCGTAGAGGATGCCGTTGTCCATGATTAAACTAGGGGTACTATTTCTGGAGCTACTTATCCGGGTTTTCATCAGTCTCACTAGTGCTTCTGTATTACTAGTTTTACTACATTGGATGCGTTCTTGTTTAACGGCTTCTATTACTCTTTCTGCCTTGAATGTGTCGTATGTGTCTTTGAGTGTGACAAGCGACGAAAAGTCATTCGACTTATAGTACTCTCTGACATGGTTTCGCATGCGGATGCGTACTTTCTTTGGTATATAGTCAGCTCTGTTTTTCTTAATTTCTCTTCGGAGCGGTGGAGCAACATAGTCTTGAGCTGTGCCTATATATTCATAGAATAGATCACAGAGTTCTTTGGCTGAACTGTTGGTAAAGTAGGGGCTCCAATCTAGGCAGCGCAGAAACGATTGTAGTTCGTCCCATTTGGCATACTTGTAATTTCTAGTTAGTACTGTTCCTGACTTTTGGGCCACTTTTGTGCTGGTTATATTGAAGTATCCATATACAACCTTGTGATCGCTACCTGGAAGTTGTGTACCCACTTGGAGTTTTGTGGGTGTGGTTCCGTTTGTGAAGACTAGGTCCAGGACACTATTGTACCTGGTAGGGTGTTCCACATGTTGTTGCCAACCCTCTGTTTCAAGAATGCTTATGAATTTATCAAAGCGCTCTGGATAGCTAATTGGTCGCCACTTTATATCTGGCATGTTAAAGTCACCACATATAATTTTCGCTGTGTGTGGTAGTGTTGCCACACGGGCGAACACGCTTGTTAGCTTGTCGTCGTATTCGACTGAGGAGGAAGGGGGCCGGTAAATGCATCCTATTAGGAGGGAAGTGGAGCGAGTAAGTTTTGCGATAATCCATACTGAGTCGTCAATCTCGTTTAGCTCAGATGTAGGGCACTGCGTAGCAGTGATGTCAGACTTTACATAGATAATGCACCCTCCTCCCTCCTACAACCGGAACAGACTGGCTTCAGGAAGGACAAATCATGTGTGGATCAAACTGCATCACAGAACAGGGTATAAAATGACAGTCAGCTCTCTGCCTCAACCTTATCGATTTTGAAAAAGCCTTCGACAGCGTCGATTGAGAAGTAATTTGGCAGTTGCTTCAACACCACGAAGTTCCGCAAGTCTTTAGAACGTCATTCAACAGCAGCTATATGATGCTGCATACCAAGTGATCCAGGATGGAAAGCTGGGTGATGCCTTTGAAGTGAAAACAGGAAGGAGTGTGACAAGGCTACCGCCCACTATCATCGATGATCTTCCTGACTGTGGTCCACTTGACTGGGCTGGATCATGCAGCAAAACAGTGGTGAGCGAGAAGATGAGCATACTCTGACTGGACCGATGAAACGACCCTACAAGATTTGGATTTCCCAGATGATTTGTGTTTAACGTCGCACAAACTTGGAGATCTACAGGCAAAAATCAACAAGTTGACACAGGGGGCCAGGCGGCGAAGACTGGACTTCAGGAGAATGTAGAAAAGACAAAGGTGACAAAGATTCCCAACCAACAACAACAACAAGAGGCACCAATCACCATCAACGGAGAAACATATATGAAGTTGGTTCTTTCATCTACCTGCCTAACAGCATTGTTTCAATTACAGACACCTACAGACAGCCACAGGCCGCACAGATCACGATGTCAACGCCAGGATTGGAAAAGACATCAAGACAGGCCTTCATTTACCTAACATCTGTGTGGAGATCTACTGCACTCAGCATAAAGCCTGAACAACATCCGCATTTTCAACACTAATCTCAGTCAAGTGAGTCAGTCAGTAATTCTGTGTGATGGTTGAGAGACTTGGTGGTGCATTACGAAAAGTATTTGCAACAAACTACAGACATTCATCATCAACAGCTGCCTACGCACACCTACCCACTCACTCGATACTCAAGATCAGATCAGATCAGATCAGATCAGATGGCCAGAATAATAAGAATAGGCAACAAGGAACTCGCTGTGGCCTGGCAACCAACTAACCAACCAAGAAGCTATCGTCCGACAAATATGCAAAAGAAGAAGATGGAGATGTATTGGAGTGGATTGGATTGGGGATACACTGAGAAGGTGGTTTGGGGACATAACGCGCCAGGCCAGGCCAGGCTAGGTCAAGCCGTCGAGTGGAATTCAAGGGGGGAACGACGACTAGGGCGTGCGAGGTGAGGGTGACATGGAGGAGATCGTGTGAGGAAGAGATGAAAGCTTGTGGGCAGTGGTGGAGCCAGGTTAGGAAGACTGTAGAGAAGAGAGTGGGGTGGGGGCGTGCTGCTGAAGCCCTATATTCCGCTAGGAACCCGTGGGAAAATAATGATACTTGCCAATTTATCCTTATATTAGTTCCCACTTGTTCAGTCACTGGGAGACATGTGTTACGTGTAGATGTGGAATATGCAAGCATGGAACGACAAGACACGCATACAGGAGAATTATCTCCACATCAGCGAAATCTATGGGGCTTTTAGGCGTTAGAGGCACTGCCTGAAGAAAAACGAAACTTGAAACTCATACTACTGTTACTACACGTCGTATATTTTACTTAGTAATAACGATAAAAGTTCACGAATGAGTGTATGCATGTTGCTTGTTATCCACTGTTTTTCAGTGAGGGCAGGGCGATGGGTTCTACGAATTCCTGAACCGTTTCACCCACAAAAATATCACTCTTACCGAGTATTACTACTGCGAGTTAAATAACCGCATGTTTTAACTCAAGCATCTGAATGTGGTGTTTCTTTGAATGCACCCAGTTGACACCCAGATATCCTTGTCTGCCATTTTCGTGGGTCGTGATAACCATGCGATTGGTATGACGCACTCCTAGACACTTCAGAAATAAATTCCACTTTCGGTAATTATGAAGTTGTGGTCTGGAGAAGGCTATTCGTCTCTGCAAGTTGTAGTTTGCTGCCGTAAAATGTAGTGAAACTCATCCATATCGGGTTGTTTCAACACAGCCTTACTCTTTAAAAATGACTTCACTCGTGATCAAGCTGATATGGAGAGCTGAAGCTTTTTTCGACAACGAGAAGTAAGGACGAGGCTGTGAGCAGGGAAAAGACGAGGGAATTGCAACTCGGGGCCTATTTTCTGTATACATGTTCCTCCTTATTCAACTCTTTTGCTATAGAGCTGGTTTTACGTGCTTTGCCTTCCAAGCATTTAGGAACATAGCTTTCACACTTTTATACAGCTTAGGAGTTGCGCATTTTTTCCGTGGCGGTCAGAAAGGAGGTGAGTACCAGTATGGAGTGAAAAATAAGGTGGTGGTTTCCTCGGTTCTCGTGAGGAAAGGCCACTGCATACAATATCAAAGTCTGAACTTAATATTAAGAGGGTCTCATACTGGTGGCGCGCTAAGTAGTCAGAAGGAGCTACCGTATAATACGATTCCGGTTAATGATCAACCAATTTCCCAGGTTGATTCGGAGGCTCTAAATTCAATAGAAACTCTGCTTCAAATCTAGGAGGACTTTAAGACAAAGAAATTAGCGCGGGAGAGGACTTAAGTGGCTTTAGAATGACACCCCAAGCCTGGCTGTATGGATTACAATAACCACCTAGTTTCAACTGAGGCTTATCACCAGTAAAGGTTATTTTGCGTAGCATGTTGAAGCAGAACAAGAGGATAGTTTTGAGTCGCCTTACCCGAAACGATACAGAATTTAAGGTCATGCACCTCGACCTTTAGTCCTACTTGGACTCATATCCTAGTAATCCGGACATAAAGTACCTTTGGATACCCCTTACTTTTAGTATTTCGTAGGGCGTTTGTCATTCGGAACAAATGGAAGGTACTCTAGCAGCGGACTAACACAAGTTGTAGGTAACTGTAACTGGGCATACGTGAGGCAGAAGCTACGAACTGTGGGATTCAGTAGGATTCCAGATTTGTGTCCGTGAAGAAACAGGTTTAGAATACATAAGGCCATCTGGGTACATTGACACAAGGTCACGTGCTCCTGTAGTGACGGGTGATTTCATTGACTCAAGCCGAAGTCGAACATCTATCGGGCACTAAAACGCAAACAGCAACGCTGGCCTGCATTAGACCGCAGCTTCACGTGGTGATCATGTAGATGCAGCGCTTGGAAATGGGACAGATTATCATAGGTGAGTGCACGAGCCACTTAGAGGTCATCAGAAAAACAAAAACGGCTTACAATGTGTAAAGCATCTGTGAATGTTGATTATTTGCAGAGTCAACGGAAGGGGGCTTGATTCACTGCTATGAATCATACCAGGGGTGATTAACATGGGTTTTGAAGTGTGCGGGCCAATTTTTGCCACCAGAGTGCGATCACTCAGGAGGGGTGCTATCTGTTCTGATGATGGACAGTCGAGCCCTAGAGATTGCAACCTACTGATGAGGAGTAAGTGGCGAACTGTCTTAAGTGAGAAAATTCCCGTTTAGACATCTGGTAAAACAGACAGTGTGAGCGAAGAAGAAATAGAAACACAGAAATTAAAATTACGGCATCCACCTTGAAAGAGCTTCTCTTGCGATATATAGTGAATGTACACTTTCTCTCCCATAAGGAATTCTATAGACACTCGGACAGTGTCCCTACGGAGTCACCACTAGGCCCAATCTTAGCAGATTTCTTCTTAGAAAGCAGCCCTCTGGAAAGTATCATAAGCGGGTTAGAATTTTACAATTTCGAGGTGACATCATCGGCGAAACTGTGACACAACGCCTAAGAAATGCCATAAGAAAATCATTTAATGCCGCCAGGTTACGCTGTGTTTTCCACAGCCGGCAGATGATGACCACACGAACTAAAGGCAGACCATCTGATATCCCCTATTCTATGTGCATTTACCAGTTCAGCTGCTACTGTGGAGCTAGTTACACTGGACGTACAGTTGGGCAAGTCTGTCGTCAGAGAGCCGAACATCACCCTTCATGGATGAGTAAGGGGCAAACCAGATCGATACGAAGCTCAATACTCTCGCATCCGATTGACACCGGCCACCGAGTCAACATTCATAATGCCTTTAAAGTTATTTATGACATTCCTTCTCACCTCGCTCATGCCCTACGAGTTCGTCTTTTACATACGGCAGAAGCCATTAGAACCACACAAACGAGCCAAGTCTGTTTGTTCGGAAGAGATTCGCACAGCCCCTTTCTTTGCCTTGACCATCTTTATAGCTCATTTATCACGAAAAAACCTTTCATTTCATCCACCACACAACCGACTATAACTAATATTTTAATGGCTGTATTATTATTATTGTTATTACAGATTTAGCCATCTTCTCCCCCCAATGTCTCCAGTTACCGTCAGCAATTTACCACCTTATGTAACAGTTCATTTTCGCTATTTAGTTACCATTATGCAAAATATCAATTATGTAAGAACCTGTTTAAAACTTCAGAAAATCTTTATATTATAATCAATGTTTGCTTTAGTTAACTGTCTTAATTACCTGGTCAATTATCACCTTAATACTTTGAGATCGATAACTTTTCATTAAACAACTCGCTACTAGATTGGCATGTAATTATACGTTTGAAAATGCTATATTAGTTTAGAGACATTAACGAGGTACTAAATGAAAAGAAATATTTCTTTGCCCACATTGCTTGTTTTACTAAATGTCTCAAATGCGTTGGAAACCTCTAGATAGAGTGCAGGGACTTTTTGGTACCCATCTCTCTAGTCTCTTTTTGAATCCGTAGCGTGGGAACGAGATATCTATTTAATAATTAATAGAAAAGTGTAGAATCGAGCTATCTTCTCGCCATCGCCTGAAGACGGACAGGAAAAACGAAAGCGATTAAAGACATGTGATTCTGTTACCCCTACTCACCAAGGTGGTAGGTGTGACAACAAGTGTCGTTTGGGGATTCCCAGATAGGAATTTCACCACTCGTTTACACCAAGCGCAGTTTCACGAGCGAGAGGTAACAGGTAGCGAAGTTATTGACCACTTTACTTGCTCGGACAGGTAGCTCAGACAACGAGCGAAAGGCACGCATTGTCTTCCACGACCCACCGAAGGCTCTTGACAGTGTCACGCACATCGCTTTATTGAAAGAGGTTTCGGTGGTCGTGGTAATTGAGCCTCTAGTTTCTTGGTTCATGGAGTACTTGGAAAGTAGGTCGTTCTTCACTGAGGTCGAAAGGATTCAGTCTGCGTTCAGAATTTCTAGATCTGAAGCATCCCTTGGGATGGTTCCTTCCTCTCTTCCTTTTCTTCCCCCCGTAAACAACTTACCTGAGAGCGTCTCATCCTCCATCCTATCATCCATAGATGACATCAAAACACTGTGGGTATTGATGACAACAGTGTTCCAGGACAGCTCCGGGATGACTTACGGCAAATGAAACTTTCAGCTCCAAGGGACGGTCCAAGCTTTAAAGTGAAGTGAAAAGGAAAGTAATTCCTGGAGAGGGCAAAATCAGGGACGCCAATTAGCCACGCTGTCATACAGGTTGCCAAAGACAGGCCTTTGTGCTGCATTTTCTTCACTGCACCAGACGCCAACATAAAATAAAAAGAAACGGTCACAACGGTAAACCCTGTTGCACAGTTCATTTGGAGGTGGCTGCGAGTTCCCTTTCCGTACCTCTTCGTCATGACCATACCTTGAGATCCCTAGTACAGTAGCCTCTCCCCAACTACACGGACAGAACTCAGACTCTCCAGGGAAGGTGTCAAGTGGTGGTGTTGATGAATATCGACAACTGCCTACGCTCGCTACTGAAGATCGGATGGCCGGAAAGAATATGCCATAAGGAACTCTGGCTGGCTGTTAACGAACCAACCAAGAAGCTATCGCTCAAGAAATATGCAGAAGGAAGTGGAGATAGATTGGGCATACACTGAGAAGGCCGGCATCAAGCGTCAGGCCCTCGAGTAGAACCCGCATTCGAAGCGACGAGTTGATAGTCAGGGGTAGCGTGGAGGAAGTCGTGCGAGGAGGAAATGAGAGCTTGCGGGCTGTCGTGGAGCCAGGTTCAAAAGATTTCAGAGAAGAGAGTGCACTGGAGACGTG